AACAAGCCGTGACCCGCACCACCTCATAATCACCAATGGCTTATAAATGCGGCTTAACTTGTTTGTGGTGATTGATGTGGGGCACCATGATTACAGTTAATCATATCAGAGGCCTTTAATTCAATAATGCAGCGGACGGGAGTTCACACAAGTCCCGAATCTGAGAGAAATTGTAAAGTGATTATGAAAATCCCACTATGTGTAAAGGCAAAGCTCATGTGCTAAACCCCATGTGCTAATTAAGGTGTAATCCTCCGACAGGCAAATGCCAGAGTTTGTTGCCGCATTTTGCCACAGATTGTCGCCGTATGTGTACAGTTCACATGGACAGGGTTAAACTCATAAGCGCATGTTCATTTTAAATTGTTCACAGGGTCTTCTATAAATCGGGTGCCTTTTTATTTTTTTTATAGCAAATATATGCATTTTAAGCAAACACAAAGAGAGACAATGTTTTTAACTGTTAATATATTGCACTTAATACATGTTGCAATATAATTTTGCCTTCAAATATGAGACGTCAGTATGAAAGACAGACCGAACAAATGCACAATAGACAGACAGACAGACAGATAGATAGAATGTATAAATGACAGACAGACAGACAGACAGACAGATAGATAGATAGAATGTATAAATGACAGACAGATAGATAGAATGTATAAATGACAGACAGACAGACAGATAGATAGAATGTATAAATGACAAACAGACAGACAGATAGATAGAATGAATAAATGACAGACAGACAGACAGCTAGATATAATGTATAAATGACAGACAGACAGACAGATAGATATAATGTATAAATGGCAGACAGACAGACAGATAGATATAATGTATAAATGACAGACAGACAGACAGACAGATAGATATAATGTATAAATGACAGACAGACAGACAGACAGATATAATGTATAAATGACAGACAGACAGATATAATGTATAAATGACAGACAGACAGATATAATGTATAAATGACAGACAGACAGATAGATATAATGTATAAATGGCAGACAGACAGACAGATAGATATAATGTATAAATGACAGACAGACAGACAGACAGATAGATATAATGTATAAATGACAGACAGACAGACAGACAGATATAATGTATAAATGACAGACAGACAGACAGACAGACAGATATAATGTATAAATGACAGACAGACAGACAGACAGACAGACAGATAGATAGTATAAATGACAGAGACAGACAGATAGATAGATAGATAGAATGTATAAATGATAGATAGACAGATTGATAGACAGACAGATAGAACGAATCAATGAATCAATGAACGGACAGATGGATGGATGGACAAATCAGATCAGAACCCTAGACAGATAGAACAAACAAAAGAATGAACGAATTAATGGAAGACAGATCGACAGAAACAAACAATAGATAGAACGAAAAATAAACAATGAACAATCGATAGATAGAACAATAGACAGAGATAGAAAAGAGATACTTTTTTTTAGCTATTTATTATAAAAGCATTTCACTCATGAGGGATACGAAAGGCCCCACCTTGTGGAACAATCCTGATCAATTCATCTATCTGAAATCAATTCATCTTCTAGTAGCAAGTCAGATTTACTGATACAGGCTCTTTCCTGTTGGAGGGGGGGTTTTTTTGCCCGGATGTTCAGATTAATGAAATGCACTGTGATGTTTCGGCATGGTGTCAGCTGGGACGACACACTCAGCAGGACGACGACAGATGGATGAGGTACCCTGCATGTGTGAGTGTGTGTGTTTCGGGCTTGATGTTTACACATAGCCATGTGAATCTCGCTGGATGCTGTTGACTGCTGCAGCGGCTGTCACAACACTACTGTGTGTCAACTGATGGGAAAACGAGTTTCTTCACATTTGGCAGACTATACATATTTAGACAGAAATATACTAGAAGTTATTTTAACTTAATTTGTTAATTTAAGAAGTATTTTAATTTACATTTTCAAATGAATACTACACATAAATTGGCGTAAATATCATACCAACATTTTGATGATCTGGCCTCTTATTAGATACAGCTTACTTGTTTGGTTTTATTATGCAAATTGACTAATGTTCAATTTGACTAAAATAAGTTTTACAATAAATATGCATACAGTATTCTATTCAGACTGAATTGTATTTGGTGTTGTGTTGCGTTAACTTGTTATGAGACTCAAATATGAGAAATATAGTCACAGTAAGATACAAAGTCTCACAAAGTACAAAGTCGTAATTACAAGAAATAATGATACAATTTTGAGATATGAAGTCACACTTAGAAAAAACACAATTGCAAGTAATGTTACAATTGTGAGATATAAAAAACACACCTTGAGAAAATTTGTTGCAATTGTGAGAAATAATGTTACAATTGTGATATATAAAAATCGCAAAGTAAAAAAGGTCGCAATTGCAAGAAATAATAATTATGAGATGTAAAATAAAACGTTGAGAAAAATAGTCACAATTACAATTGTAAGTTACAATTGTAAGATATAAAATCACACTTTGAGAAGTGTCGCAACTGTGAGAAATAATGATATAATTGTGATATAAAACCACACTTTTGAGAAAAATTGTCTCAAATACGAGAATTATTGTTCCAATTTTAAGATATAAAAGCACACTTTGAGAAAAGTCACAATTGTACGAAATAATGCAATACTTGTGATATAAAAAAACACTTAAGAAAAATAGTCGCAATTGCGAGATATAAAGACAAAAACATTTATTTAAAAATAAATAAAAAAAATAAAGGCTCAATTGTGAGATAAAGTAGCAAACACGAGAAAAAGTCAAATTACCTTTGTCCCAAGCGGAAACTGGTATTTATTTATTTATTCGAGAAATGCAATAATGCAACATGTTAATTTTAAAAAGTAACTCCAACAATGTGTTTGATTCCATTAGAAATTTTTCTTTTATAACTGCAGATATGCAGATCATTACGGTGATAAAATAGCAAGACATCTATTTTCTAAAAATAAGTTATAACCATCTAAAGTCCCAGAGGCTTTAAAAAGCTATGATATGAGTCATATTCAAAGTCCAATGCTGTTAAAACAATTAAAACAGAGCCTGAACTAAAATTATGGGAAGTCATTTCAACGACACTGATTTTATTAGCCATCAAATTCTTGAAAAAAAGTCCATATGTGTGCTTTCAATATGTGATTTGATTACGCTAACATACACAAATGCGCGCGAGCACGCACACACACACACCCACAGAGTTCATGCATAGCTAATTTAAACACATTAATAACTAACAGTCTTTGATCAACGGCACAAGTTCCAAGTTAGTGAACAGGTCACTGTGTGAGACAGTCATTGGGAATTGTCAGCAGGTCACTTTGCAGTACGTCAGAGTGTCTTGGGGACTGTCAGCAGTCGGTCGATCGGAACGGGCTGTCCCTCTACCCCCAACCGAGCCAGATGCTCTGCCTCGGTCTATGGGGATCAAGCTACAGATGGCTCGCCTCCATATTCATCAGGAGATGAGGGTTTGGTGAGCACCGTGCAACGCAGTGGAAGTGGCCCACAGCTGGGTCAGCATGTCCCAGTGTGTCCCTCTAGATCTTCCTTCAGTCAGAAACATCTATCTCTGCAGTTTCACCTGCAGCTGACAGTCACACCTGTCAGCACTAATGCAAGAGCGGGTGTGAGTACCGATTCAAGATATGAACCCACCACTAAGTGCTTTTGCTAGATGCTTCATAAATGTGCTTAGTGTGATCAGTGTCAGTACACAAGGGTGTTTAAGCATCTGTTTACACCTGGATTTATATAATAAAGGCAAAAAGACAATCTATCAATTTATTTATTGAATTTTTGCCAAAAAAAAAAAAGTTTAGATGCTTCAGGTGCATTAAAAATACAAAAAAAAGTGTCTTAAAAAAGCAAAACATATGTACATACATATATATATATATGTATGTATTATTTTTATTACATTATAATATCACTTTTCACATGCTCCGAGTGCCTTGAAGACAATAAATAAAAATCATAGTAAAATAAACAAAATTAATAAATAAATCATATTTAGATGCTCCGGGTTCCTAAAAGAAAATAAATTTAAATTAAAAAAGAAATATCAAAATTGTATGATTTTAGTATTTCATTTAAAAAATGATTTTCACATGCTCTGAGTGCCTTAAAGACAACAAATACAAATCATAGAAAAATAACTAAACTAAAATAAATAAATATTACTTTGTATTGATTTATTTTTTGCAAAAAAAAAAAATTAGGATTAGAAAAAAAGGTTTGGATCCTCAGAGTCAAATAAATAAATAAATAAATAAATGTTTATTTATATTATTTTATTAATTTATATTTTTATTTATTGTATTTTTGCCTTGCATTAAAAGGTGTCTCATGAAAAATATCAATAATGATATTATCGGTTAAAAAAGTATAGCCTTGGTAATGTCATCACAAAAGAAAATGTGTTATCGTGGGCAAGGTAATATAGAATATTATGAAAACAAAAATGTTTTAAATAACGTACACTGACAAATCAAACAATCAAGACATGGGTAATATATAAGTAAAAAGGTTACGTTTTGATTTCACGTTTTGCCTTTGAAGCAGCTACCAAAAAAAAAAAACCACTGAAACTGACTTCCTCTCAATCCATATATGCTCTCCTAGTTCTTTTAACTTTTTGTCTTCTGGCATAACATGTGCTTCAGGTAGTGAGTCAAGCACTGTCATCCAATCTAACAGTGTCCTCCCCACATACATCCACCCACCCTGAAGCTCCTCAACTCCTCCTCTGACAGGAGGTGTCAAAGCTCAAATGCTCCATGTGCCTTGAAGATCTGCCAGACTGTACGAGCACACACACTCATGAACGCACACACACACACACACACACTTTCACTGCTGAATACAAACCCAAAGCAGCATCAGACGTTCAGTTCACAGGTGCGTCGACACACAAGAGGGTAAATCCGACTCATTGCGGGTTTTAGTGTCAGACTTACGCAGCTGGTGCAGATGTTTCCAGGCTCTGGAAGTGGGGCAGGCTGTGATCGTGACTAAGGAGCAGGAGTTTCCCGCCAGCGTATAGCAGAGGTTTTGTTGCCTGAAGAAAACTTTCCGTGGGTCTACAGACTTCTCCAGCATCTTCAAATGGGTCTAGAGAATATAGAAAATCGTAAATACATTTGCTTTAGTCTTTAGCCATTATGAGTAGTGATGCACCGAAATTTTGGTAACCAAAACTAGTTTTGGAAGGCCAAAATCATTGACCAAAATGTTAATGTTTTATTAGCGATGTTTAATTAACGTGAATAAGCTACAACAGGTAAACATGTCAGCTGTGTGGATGCTATGCCTGATTTAACAATATGAATTTCTTAGTTTTAATCAGTCTTCATTTTGATGAACCAAGATCTTTTAGTCTGTTTTCAGTTGATGTATGAACAACGCTTACATGAATCATTATCTGCAGTGTCCCTACCATCCAATAACTGCATTTTGCTATGTTACTTTCAAATATGAAACAGTCTATTCATTATATTTCACTTAACCTAGTGCCTTAACGTATCAACACATCATATTAACATATCAATTCATCACCTAAAAATCTTGATAGTATTGATTCTGGAGATAAGTGTGACATCCCGGCCCTAATATTAATACAAAGTGGGTCATGTCAAGCACCTGAAGGGTGGTGTAGGTATAAGGGTAGTGGTAGGCCAAGTAGCACACGTCATCTTCATGGTGAAAGGTCACCGTGAAGGTCAGTGTGTAAAAATAACTTTTTTGACCTCTTCTAGAGCAGAAATGATTTCTGTGGAAGTCAAAACCACAATTAGATGCTATACATGCAATATCCTGAATAAAGAATAGACTGCATAGAGAAAAAGTACAGTAAAGTGAGGCAAAGTGAAATAATGTGAGGTTAAATGTAAAGACCTGAAGTGAAATAAAGGAAGCGCAATACCTGTAATAGCAGATCTCAGAGCCTGTTCGCACCCAGTGTGGTCTGCCCTCCAGCGCCTCCCTCACAGAATACAGCACAGGCTGCATGCCTGAAACATCCCACAATACAGTTATGAACCAAGTCAAACATTCAGTCATTTAAAGGTCATTCTGTAATTGCTAAACATGCAGGTTGTTAGCTTTGGCACAATATCAATCACCAACACCTATAGAGTGTATGATTTTAGTATGGCAATGCCAAATTGCTTATAAAATATCATTTTGGGGATTTTTGGAAAGTTTCCGGAATCTTACCGGAAATTTTCCACCCCTTTGCAACCCTAGCAAGGATGCATTAAATTGAACAAAATTGACAGTAAAGACATTTATTATATTACAAAAGATTTCTATTTCAAATAAATACTGTTCATATTTGAAACTATTAAAAAAAAATGTTTCTTGAGCACCAAATCAGCACATTAAAAATCAGCATAAGATTTCAGAAGGATCATGTGACACTGAAGACTGGAGTAACGGCTGCTGAAAATTCAGCTTTGCCATCACAGGAATAAATTACATTTTAAAATACAATAAAATACAAAACATTTGTTTGAAATTGGAATCAAATTTCACAATATTACAGTTTTTCCTATATTTTTGATCAAATAAATGCAGCCTTGCTTATTGAGGGTAAGAGACTTCTTTCAATGATTCGCTTGGTGGCAATAATGTTAAAAAACTAAACGGTATCGATTTATGAGAAGCAATGTTGATATAGGTGTATTTTTTTTACCCCGTTGACAAATAGATTTTATTCATTTTACACAAAGTGACTAAGTTCAACAACATGTATAAGGAAAGCTAAAATCCCCCAAACTCTTTATCAAGCTTGCAAATAAATAAATAAATAAACAATAAAAAATGTTCTTTATCTAAAATGTCTAAATCTTTAGCTTTCAATGAAAAAGTAGGACCTTCCTTTCTTAAAACCAATAAGATGAAGACTGCATTTCTCTAAAGCACTAACACTGGTAGACAGGCTTCCCTGAAATGCATTCACTCAAAGTAGAAGTTTTACTCAAACTCAAATAAGGTCAACAGTAAAGGACATCTCAATTAATATAAAGACATAAAACACTGACTTCAGGGCAGCACGAGTCTCTTATAATGCCCAGCTGCACACCAAAATGAGGAAAAGGCAGTCAAGGGCCATTGAAAACTCTTTATCGGGAGAGGAAGTCAGAAATGCGGGAGCACTGTATTTTTCTGGGATATACGGCTGGTGTCAGATTTAAGAGCTGCTCGGGCCCACCGCTGTGTCTCAGAGCAATGTGAAGCTAAGATATGATTCAGCTGCTACCACTGTGGCATCTTCTTAAGCTGGGTGTGCTGGTGCCGGTGGGGAAATGTATTTCTTTTGAGAGAAGATGGTTATGTCAAAATCAATGCCATCTAGAACAAGTACTAAAACGGTACTAAAAATAGATCTCATAACCCTCATGTAACAAACACATTATTTACACAAGCAGAACATTTTCCTGGATCAATATGGGGTGATCTGAGGTTATTATGTACCACAAAAATACAGAACAAGTTATGAACCAAAAATGTAACACAAAAATTTGGATTAAAGTGTACAAAAATACACATTTAAATCATTTGTTGTGTCATTTTAGTATTTTAAAGATACTATTATAGTTTTTTTTTATTTGCTTTTAACATTGTATTTTTCATTAAAATTTTAGTTAAAGTTTTATTAATTTTGTTGCATTTTTGTCATTTTTAGTAGTTATTGCATTTTTGTCATTTTCATTAGTTATTGCATTTTTGTCATTTTCATTAGTTATCGTTTTATTTTTTGTCTATATAGTTTTTATTATATTTGAAAGAGAGAGAGGAGAAAATCAGACAAAGTGGGTGCAAGAGAGAATAGGAGAGAAGTAATGAGAGCGAGAGAGAGAGAGAGAGAGAGAGAGACTGAGAAGCGTGTTACATAAATGACAGAGAAAAATCTCTCACTCCATCCCTGTTGTTACGCCGCCACATTTCATTTGGAAAAATATAACGTCAGCTCTTTTATTTAAGCGCATCGGAAGTGCTCTGTAGACAGCGTTTTGGATTTGATCTTGCATGCGTTGACGAGACAAGCTTGCTGAAAGAGTGGAAACATAAGAAGGAGAGAGAGAGAGAGAGAGAGAGAGAGAGAATGATTGCACTACAAATGAGGCCCAAGGGCACTCTGCGAGCTGTCTGCAGTACATGTTTGTGTGTGTGCGCTTGTGTATGTGTGCTGTATTGCAATGCAGTCTCACCTGCGGACTTGAATGGCTTTACGCAGGTTCCCGCTCTCAAATTTGGAGAAGAATTGAAGGGAACTATGACACATACCGGAGGAACACTGTGGACTGAGAAAAGAAAGAAAGAAGAGAAGAGAAGAGAAGAGAAGAGAAGAGAAGAGAAGAGAAGAGAAGAGAAGAGAAGAGAAGATGAAGAAAGACAGAATGAAAAAAGGGAAGGAAAAAAGGGAGGAAGAAAAGGAGAAAAACAGAAATAAGTGACAGAATGAATTTACAAAGATTAATGAAAGACAAAATGAATATAGGAAGGAACGAAAATAAGAAAAGAAACAAAGAAATACAGGAAGGAAGGACAGAGTGAATATAGAAATGCAAAAAGAAATATAAAGGAATCAGAAAGAAATATAAGAAGAAATGCAGACAGAAGGAAGGAATACAGCAAAGAAGGAAGGAAGACAGCAAAAAAGGAAGGAAAAGAGAAAGACAGGAACCAAAGTAAACATAGGATGTAAGGGAAAAATGAAAGGATAGAAGGAAGAAGGAAGAAAGGAAAAGGAAAGACAGGAAGAAAAAAAGACAAAGGAAGGAAGAAAGAAAGGAAGAAAGAAAGAAAGAAAGAAAGAAAGAAAGAAAGAAAGAAAGAAAGAGAAAGAAAGAAAGAAAGAAAGAAAGAAAGAAAGAAAGAGAAAGAAAGAAAGAATCATCTAAAAAAACTCAGGAATGAATGAATGATATATAAATAAAGGAATGAATGAATGAATCAATAAAATATAAATAAAGGAATGAGAAAGAAAGAAAGAAAGAAAGAAAGAAAGAAAGAAAGAAAGAAAGAAAGAAAGAAAGAAAGAAAGAAAGAAAGAAAGAAAGAAAGAAAGAAGGAAGAAAGAAAGACAAAGGAAGATGAGAAGGAAAGGGAAAATGAAGGGGGTGGGGGGAGAAAGACAGGGAAGAAACAAGGAAGGAATAGAAAGGAAAATGAGATTGGCTGGAGAAGTCTAACACACAGAAAAGCAAGCAGAGAAGAACAGAAGAGAGAACGAGAGACACATTTTGGACAGCTGTGCTGATTGATCATGTTCCACTCCACCATACTCTCACATTAGCTTAACAAACAAGTGAATTATCACCATACTTGTCCTAGATATTGATTCACACTACTAACCACGATTCTTGCTAAATCATTCATTCTGCACCGTTTGCTTCAACAAATTCCAGTCACACTGCAAATGACACAGAAGATGATTGCAGAAAACTGTTCAAATGATTGAGGCACACTGTTCTGTCTCGGAACTATATGACCAAAACCAAATAAGATTGTTCCTAGAAAGGTACTGTATTTCTACCTCAATTACCCTTTTCAAGGTTTTATTGTAATGGCTTTTAAAAATAACTTGAAAAAAAAAAACGACTTTTAATAAGATTTGAAGGCTGCACTGAAGATCTTTCACGTTCTGGTTGCTACCGTAGTATCAATCCAGCATGCCTGTGAAAGATCCATTAAGATCCATCAGAGGCACTTAATGAATTTAATTTATCAGTGTACTATCTAGATGGTTCCCAAGCCACTGACGTGATGATCTAATGAAAATGCTTTATCAGAAAAAAATAGCAGTGTTACCTGGGATCATCCATGTCAAAAACAACCTTGTTGATGATGTCCTCTGGACAGATGAGACGCTGGATGTCTTCGAAAACTTTCTTTCTGGAACATTGGAAAATAAACAAATAAATAAAACCATCAGTGAACCACAGCTTTGGTTTCCAAAAGTAGAATTCAATTTATAGATTAAAAAAATTTTAATAAATATTTATATAAGTCTGGGTATATGCCGTACATTTCATGTCAATGTCACTTGATTTGACTTGACTTATTGCACAATTAAAACACATGTATCAATCAATGTGCTTTAATTTTTGAAACAACATACATCGCACCATTGTAAAACACAAAACAGTCAATGGTTAACAGAGCTGGGTAAAAAAGAAAAATAAATTTCTCGATTTTAATAGATTCTCATTTTTTACAAAGCTATATCGACTCTTAAATCCCAACAATCGATTAGTCTAGCCCTGCAGGGCAGGTGTCCTGCAGAGTTTAGCTCCAACTCTAATCAAACACACCAGAACCAGCTAATCAAGGTTTTACTAGGTATATCTGAAACTTCCAGGCAGGTGTGTTGAGGCAAGTTTGAGCTAAACTCTGCAGGACACCGGCCCTCCAGACCTTTTGAAACAACATACATCGCACCATTGTAAAACACAAAACAGTCAATGGTTAACAGAGCTGGGTAAAAAAGAAAAATAAATTTCTCGATTTTAATAGATTCTCATTTTTTACAAAGCTATATCGACTCTTAAATCCCAACAATCGATTAGTCTAGCCCTGCAGGGCAGGTGTCCTGCAGAGTTTAGCTCCAACTCTAATCAAACACACCAGAACCAGCTAATCAAGGTTTTACTAGGTATATCTGAAACTTCCAGGCAGGTGTGTTGAGGCAAGTTTGAGCTAAACTCTGCAGGACACCGGCATTAGAGTTTGGTGACCCCTGTTTTACAGCATTAATTGAGAGATTTTTTTGTCTTTGAGAAAATTTGCCATTTACTTTACCTGATATATCCAAAATAAGCAATATCAAATTGAGTGGCAGCTCTAATATAATTAGGCAAACTATCCCAAAGTTTAGGTGCTACTACAGCAAACGCACAATCCCCTCTTTGATTTTATCTCGAACTTGAAATTTTAAATAGCTTTTGGCTAGTAAATATCAGTATTCTTCCAGATTGATATTCAGTCAGGAGATCCGAAAGATAGGGCGGTGCGAGACTATTCAACGATTTATACACTAATAAAGATTTTAAAATCAATTCTATAACTTACTGGAAGCCAATGAAGTGAGACTAAGATGGGGGTGATATGTTCCTGGTTTTTTTATACCCATCAACAGTCTAACTGGTGCATTTTGATCGAGAGATGGATGATTACAATAGTCAAGTCTTGAGGAGATCAAAGCATGTATTGCATGTATGAGTTTCATACATTTCATGTACATATATTATGTTTATGTACACATATGTTAGCTTGGCATTGAAAATGGTCAACATGTGACCGAAACGTTTGCCTTGTTTCATTCAGTAAATTGCTTATATTGTTCTCATCTCGCTTGTGATGCTTTGATGTTTGAGTGTGCGAACTTTTTTCAAGCTCTTCACCTTTGGGTAACCTTTTTTGGTCTACGCACCTCAGTTGGATTTTTTTGAAGGCGCGGTGAGTCTCTGGCTGCTTCTCATGTACATATATTAAAAACAATGTGTATAAGTGTCAGGATTATGGACTCATTGTGTTGTGTTTTCCCTCCACATGTGTTCCGTGTTAATTAGTTATTCCATGCACCTGTGTTTCCCCAATTATCCTGTGTTTATAAGCCATAGTCCATTCAGTTCATGTTTGTCGGAGATTATACGTCAACCCTGGTGTTTCCTGTGCTCCTGTCTGCCCCGTGTATTTCCTTGGATGTTTGGATTAAAAGACTATTGTTTTCGTGTACTCCTGGTCTCCTCGCTCCGCGCTCCTCGCCATAGGCAGAGTGTGACAATAAGTATGCATATTTTTGTATACATAGTGTTAATTTCATTAAAAGAAAAGTATGACAAAAAATACTTGTTGACAACCTTTCTTTCATGAGTAAGACGAAACAACACTGGCATTAAATGTGACTGAATCAACATGCAATATCGCTGACAAAAAAGACAAGACTAAAATGCAGTAAAAAAAAAAAACTCTTTATATTTACTTAAAAAAAAGAGAGAGAAAAACATAGACCTGAATATAATTTTGAATTTTTGGAATTAATATTACAAATTTAGGAATTAGTTTTAGCTACTGAGAGAAGGTTTAAAATTTTTCATAGTTTAAGTTTTTCATAACGTAAAGAGTATGTTCATTTATATCATAATTTAATAAATCAGGAAACTAGATAAGGTAAAGTAAACCATGTGTATGAGTCATAAATGAAAGAATAAAATCGGTCCATATGTATTGCATGCTATATTGCTATATTATCATGTTAAAACGTTCATCTTGTTAGATTTTTGAATGATTCAAATCTTTTCAATTGATTCAATTCACAAGACTGGCCTCAACAATTTATCCATGAATCTAGTTGATCCAACAATTCCACAATTTGGTCACAATGGTTAACGTGTCGTAAATCGTAAAAACGACTTAAATTCACACAAACCTAGTTTTATCATGTCGGAGCTCGACAGCCTCATTGTTCATTCACATTCATTATATCAAAAATATTAGTGACAATATTCTTGAAACAGTTCTCATCTTTGGGTGAACTTAGGGTGACCATACGTGCCATTTTCCCAGGACGCGTCCTGGCCAGGATTTCTATATTGCCTAAAATATCTAGGTTTTGGCTTTGTTTGCGTGTGCAGACCGATCAGTGTATGACATCAAAATACCATACAGACGGTTCTTTATGCTTTCAAAATGCTCTCGAGGTATTTTGATGTCATACACCGATCGGTCTGCACACACAAACAAAGCCAAAACCTAGATATTTTAGGCAATATAGAAATCCTGGCCAGGACACGTCCTGGGAAAATGGCACGTATGGTCACCCTAGGTGAACTACCATTTTAAAGTTTAACTACAGTAGCTAGCTTTATTAGCTTTATTGTTTGTGGCAGTATATTTGTCTTGCCTGCAGAGGGAGCTCTTGCCGTAAACACTCATATTAATAGATATTACTTTAACAAATGACTAATAAGCAAAGCTATCAGCTATTCCAGTGTTACACGTATCTAGCGGTCTGGCAGACATCTACCTAAAGTGCTGATAATGGCGGGTCGTTCTCAACTCTGTTTGGATGATGCCATTTCCAAATCAAACCTATAGTGCCTCATCTTTTTTTCCCTGTATGATGCTAACGGGATAATTTTCTTGGTTGTTTGTGTGCATTATTTCTTTGTCACAGATAAACAACAATAATGAGGCCTTTTTCTCCTGATGCAAATAAGCACAATGCAAAATGCAGGGGGGGGGGAGACAATCTGTGTGGACGCTCCAATCCCGAGAGCGAATTTCAGATGATAATGGGGTTGAATGAATGAGCAAAAAGAAAGTCAACAGTCCGCCGTGGCTGGCAATAAACCAGGAGCACTCTCATCAAAACGTTTACTTCATGGAAAGAACTATAAAACAATAAGACATAAACAAGCCTTATGTCCTTCATTAATGTTAAATTCTGAGCATAGAACATCACAAAGGGTAAGAAAAAAAAATTACGATGAACCATTTTCCTGCAAATGTTACCAAAATGATGTGTCAGACATATGTTTTAAAGATGAACTTTTTAAAATGACCATTTTTGGATGTCAAATGCAAATGTTTCAGACTTATCTGAAGTCAATGTTGGATTAGGACGCAATATGTGGAATTAAAGACAATATGTCTTTTTTTTTTCTCACTGGCTGTCTGACACTTTCTTTTTAAAACTCCAAAAGTGACTATTTCTGAGTTAAAATGACACCAATAGAACCCATATGAACTTATCTTACCCTTGAGCAAACACAATAAACTACAGAAATGACTGAAATAAATGTCTATTTCCTTTAATCTCTCCCTTGCACATTGAAGAACGTTTTCAGCAAAAACAAGTTTTCCGAAGGGGCCTACCATAATGAGATATAGATTTAAGGGCTTTTCCTCAGTAGAATAGAGTCTTTGGGTGTCTTTAGAGCAAAGCAACCAGTGAAAGCAGAACGACTCACTTAAGGCAAGAGAGTTTAGCTCGGAGAGGAATATTTTAATGGATTTCATTTGTACTTGCAGTGAGTTTAATGAATCTGTGCCATCATTTGCATATGACAATGTGTAAGTACGGATGGAGAATAGGCCTTAAATGGCATCCACGTGATCTGATTTAGAGACAAATCAGCTTATAAATGAAGTCTAATAACTGCATTGTTTTTTTTTCTGGTAATCTCAGCATGCAAGTGCAACACATGCAGCTGAAAACGTTGGGAGCTGCTGCAGTACGGAACACAGAATTTGTGCAAAACCAAAGACACAAAGTAAAGTACAAATTAAGGCATCTTTGGGGAGGTTTTGAAAGCGTCTTTATGGAATCAAACAGCTTTCAGTTATTTTTCTTGTTGCAGTCTGTAATGGCACAGTTTTTACGAGCAACAAAACACCAAAGTAATTCTGCTCCGCCATTCCCCAGATATGTCTCTCAAAGTGAATGTCTCTTTAAATCATTTAATATTGAATATTAAATGTGATCACAGGTGAATGGAGAGCTCCTTGATGTTAAATCACGATTGTTATTGCAATGCAGTCTAATAGCTGATCAGAAAAAGAATCTGTTATTTGATATAAATAATTAAATGCAACCATTCAATAGAAAACTCTTTGCATATGTTTTGCTACCTGAGACATTAGAGGTTAAATCGTTCTAATATTCAGGCTCAATTTCATCTGTCACTTGGTAATAAATCCACGGGAATAAAACACAAGATGTAATATTTTGAGAATAATGTCATAATAGGCCTTTTATATAAGAAGAAGAAGAAATTACTAATCAAATAATAAATTTTAAAATAATATAAATACAAAAATATAATAAATAAATAAAAAATAAATGCATAAAAATATAATCTTATTTTAGATCATTTTTAATATATACTGTGTATATATATATATATATATATATAAAATATTTATTATTAATTATTTAAATTTTTTTAGTAAAGGTTAAATGATTTATTAAGCATTTCTATATAATTAAAGTTATATAAAGGCAACCAATGGGACAAGACCATCATTTTAAAAAAAAAATCTAAAATATTTATAATTTTTTTTCTTCAAACATTTGCATTTTTAGTTTACATTTAAATTTTCCAATGTATTCTCGTAATTTTGAATTTAATGCAAAATATTACTAATTTAATGTTGTATTTTTGAAACATTGATTCTCATTTAAAACATTCTCATTTGAATTCTTTGATTATTTCCCAAATTTATTTTTTAAACATGCCACTAAAACACTATTGAGATTTAACCAATGTAATGTCCATTTTTCATATTTTTGGGTCAGTGCATGTGTTTTGTTCCTTTTGTATGGAAAGCAATTTTGTCAGGTTGCCACTTGAGTTAATTAAGAACCAGTTGTTAGAACCTCTATGTTAGACAATCCATCCACCCTATACTTTGTGCGGGACAAAATTACAATAAAAGCCATGATTTCTCACCTCTGCACATGTGGTGGTCTTTTAGCCATGGGCTTTTGCTCTTGTGGGGGCAGGTGTCCCCAGAAGTCAGGGAAGGCTAGGATGGAGTATCCAGCTATTGACTTTGTATTGGCTGCAGTGGCGGTGTAGAGACGTGGATCGTGGTTGGGAGTGCAGATCCCGTACTTCTCCAGAAGCCTGTCCACCATACTCGAGTGGCCTTCTTGGCTTTTCCTGGAGCAGTTGAGGTAATGCTTATGGAAGTCACTCGTCCGGAGGTGATTTTCATCTCGGTCGGAAGGCAGATCGGAGCCTCTCTGGTCACTCGGCATCTTGTCGTTCAAGTCTCCCTCCAGAGTGCTGTCATCATCTGAGCTTTCATCGACCTCAGAGCTGGAGTCCAAATCCTAGAAGACATGATTGTCCAACTGTTAGAGAGAAGCTGCAAAGCTAATGTTAATTTTCAGGGGGAAAAATATTCAAGAACATCCACAGATGTCAGCTCTTTATATTTTCGGCCACATCAGCAACTCTCGAATCAAAGGTGTAGGAGAAAAACTGCAAAAAAAGGAGACAGAGATTACAGTAAACATCACCCACAAGATATCCTGTTTTCCCTCTGGCACCGTCAACCACTCAGTGCGGTACCGCAGAACAACAACCCAAAATAAACCGTGAAGGAAATGAAAGCATTTTTTAGAGACTATTGAGGGAGTAAAGCCAAAAAAGGATAAGGACTTGTTTTGAGGATGCAGCCCAAAGTGGTGCGCCATCACTTCCAGCTTTCTATTGACTTCAAAAGGGTGATACTGACAGCAAATAGGGTCGTCCAATTACAGTCTTTGACAGGCATAAAATGAACTGTATCAAAATAGCCAATGGCCCTGGCTGCTTTTAGAGCAACCAAATAACAATTTAAGCTCACGCCTTGTGCATTTCCATAAATTTAGCGGGGAAAAACGCCCGTGGTCCAATTCCCAGGTTCTTCCCTAGGGTGAATGTGAGAATGTCCAAGAAACATGATAGACATGAGGTGCTGACCGGGGGAAAATTTTGCACACATCGTGCCGATAAAAGCTTCCATCATCTGCGCTCACCTCCCTACGGAAGATCTTAGTTTCTGAACGCCGTCCTGAGTTGGCTCTGATCTTCGCCGCAGTGCACATAAACTGTATACCATCAAAGTGAATGTGTTAGATACAAAACTTTAGTGCTGCACCCTCTGCTATCTCATTGCATTTAAATTTAACTTTATCCACCTCCTCACACTTCTAAAAATATGTGTAAGCACAAAGATGCCACAACTTCCATGAATACCAACAGCAGGGGATGCATTAATATAAATGAACCTGTGCTGTATAAAAACGTCTCGGGTTTGAGGCTGTATACTGCATCTCAGGGGGCTCGCTTTGTCATATTCATTTTTTGAAACCACAAATAACACTAAAACAATGTAGCAGCACCGAGATGTTTTTTTCAAAGACTTATTTTAATCATGAACTTGATACAGACAAGTACAACGGCCCTTTTGATGAACTCTGGGAGTGGGACTCTGGGAATTTGTGCTCGGTTGTTCCTACAAGTGGGTGAGAGGGAAAAAGCAGAGATTCAATTCACAAAAGGAACGAACGAATCTGTTTGAGGTCAATTCAATTACAATTCAATTACACAATCCACCAACCAAAAGCTATTCATGCCTGACGTTTTTGAAATCAGCATGTAAAATAACAGAAAATTAGCGCAATTGTGACACATTTGGGGAAGTTTTCCACAGCTGTCAAACTCAATTCAAAATGGATATTACTGGCTAATAAGTTTGCAAATGCACAGAATTTGAGTTGCCACCTACATTGTGAACAATTCTGGAAAGTGTACTTAAAGTACTTAAACTACAATCAAGCTACTCTTATAAAAAGCTATCAAAAAGTAGTTACACTGAAGCTATTGCATATTTTCATGTATGCTAATTATTATTCTATATATATATATATATATATATATCATAATAATTAGCATACATGAAAATTTCAATTCAAAAACTACATTTATTGATTTATTTGAAAATTTCATTTAAATTTCAGTTTGTGAATTTTAATTCTCTTTGCTTGAGATATACATTTTATAATATATTTCATACAAAAGTTCTTTCTGGTTCTCGAATCTGATTGGCTGAGAGCCTTTTCCAGGCGAGCAATATTCTAGTGACAACAGCACTCCAACCGTTTCACCATTTGTATCAACGGTATCTTGCAGTATTTCTCACAGTGAGTGTCACACCCAAATCCACTATAATTTTATAAATAATACTTTATATTGTGTCACGGAATGTAGTTTAAGAGTTTTTTAGGCAAGAATGTAGTTGTTTAGACTTGAAATATGTGGTTTGACATTTTCGGAGATGTGAGCTCCAGGGCGTCAGCGGTCGTTCAATACTCATGAACCTGCCGAGAGCAGCCTCACCTCTAATTTGCTGCTGGCTCTGATGTCTCTATAGTGGTTAAACATGAGATATAATTCTTTTTTGGGTAAATCTAATGGGCAGTCTTTGGTCTCAATCTATTATTTGTTCCAGAGCAAACAGTTTTGGCTGAGGGTAAAATCTCATCACATTATATTTTATATAACTAATACTGTATATCACAGCGCTGCCTATGTACTTTTGACTGAATTGGCTAGCAACATTTATGATAGCTGTTGTTGTTGTTTATTAAATATTATTAGTCAATGAATACTATTTTATATAGATAATAGTAGTATTTTTCATAATAGTATTTAGTATTGAGAAACGGTGTGTGTGTGTGTGATGGTCATTTTAGTTACATTGTTCCACCATTAGATGGCGACAAGAGACTGTTTTATGAGTGAGTCAGCAGTAAAGACTTTTATATTGAAAGAGACTGAAACAGGGTTGTAAATAAGGAAGCTATTTTTACTTTAAACAACAGCTTGTAAGAAGCAGCCAACAAATGCACTGAGCAGCGCTGTCATTAGAAATCCCCCTTAACAGATGAAAGGACAGTACGACAAAGATATCGCTTTCCTCAGTGGACATTAAGACTAATGTTTTATTGTGAATATGAGATTGAGCTGAAGAATGAATGCTGGATCAGATGCAGGTAATCACACTCGCTAAGGTAATCGCTCTCTCATAATACTCTACGTAATACAGTGAGCTTTTACTACAGTAATACAATGAGCTTTCAATGAAGCAACTCGATGTTCCTTCGTTACTAGTTCTAAAGTGGTGTTTTCGAATTAGTAACGGAGGTTTGAGCTCAGCTGTTAAACTGTCAAACTGAGAGTTGAATCTGTGGTGGAAAGAATTAGTTTGCACAAAAGAGAGTTTATAAAGACAGTCCGTTGTTGTCTTTTTTTATTTACACACTTGTGGCGTTAACTGTTAACCGTATAAATGCAATATCTCACTCATAACAGTGCGATATGGCTATATCAGCACGTTATGATTACCTACGGCCGAATCACAGCTGTGCTGATATACAGCCATACCACACTGTTATGAGTGTGATATTGCTCATATATATATACACACAAACACAAAATTGACTTTTGCTACCTGTCCAAAGCGTCCAAAATAAATAAATTAATAAATATATAAATTAATCAATTCTAAACTAAACTAAATATTGAAACTGTATGGTCAATTGTACTGTACTGTAAATACAGTAAACTGTATTTAATACCGCACAGTAATGCTTGTGAGGCCTTGACTAAGGAACTGCGGCGGAACAAAACAATCATGTCGAGTCTTGAGCTTAGACTCAGCAAAGAAACTAAGGTATGTTGGTGTCATGCTGAATGAAATGAACATCTAATTTTCAACTCCTGGCTGTCCTGTACAGTATCACACAAAGAGTTGCAGATCAAAGGTAAAACATTTTTTTCCCGAGACGAGTCCTCAGGGGAAGAGACCCTTCTGTTCCCCTCCCTTTGAGAGCGCAAGCTCCGTGCCAATCTCACTCTCTCAGGCTTATGTTTCACATCTCAACCCTTTATCTAGCCTGCAATATTTTTGACAGCTCTGCAGTTTTACCCGTGTTCTCTTCTATGGAATCCTAACGTGATGCTATGAATTAAACCCCGTTTAATCAGGGCCTTTGTTTTGGCCCGAAGATTACAGGTGCAGCATCATTGTCATGCAAGATTAATAGCGGGGAACTGATTGGCATGAATGTCCTGCTGTAAATTATTTTCATCTTGGTATTTTGCACGGCATGCATAATGCAGCGATTAATTACAACCCCTGCGTCCAATCCAGTCACAGCATCTCCAGATCACAGTGGCATTTAATGATAATGGGAGAAAACATCAAAGACACATACAATGAAGGGGAGCTAGGATGGACAGTTTGCTTCCATGGTATTGAGCTGAAACCAAAAGAAAATTAAAAATTGCATAATGAACATTCAGATTGATGCATTATTATAATAAATTACAGGTTTTCGATTTTGATTGTTTTACACCAGGGCTACCGATATCATATCATATCATATCATATCATATCATATCATGTATTGAACTGAAACCAAAATAATGACATAATGCATAATGAACATTAAAATTGATGTACATTATTATCGAGTATAGGCTTTGAATTTTAATTTTTAAATTGTTTGATACTAGGGCTTGTAAAAGTTGTGGTTAAAAACAAGTGTAAAATCCATACACTACTAAAATGAATGTCCAAAAATCCAGTTCTAAACTATGCTTTGATCAAGCATAAATAAATAAATATTTTTTTCCCAAATTTTTTTGTAATGTTTTTTTTTTTTTACATAATGACAAATTCAAATTAATCTCTTTAATACAGCTGTAGTATTAAACAAATAAAATTAATTGTGCATATAAATGGGACAAATACATCAAATACGAGATTTGATGTGCGGGTGAGTAAATAATGACATTATCAATTATGTGTGAATTATTCCTTTAATAACTTGTCATTATGAGGAAGAAGCATGTGTTTCTAGGAACTGCTTAGCCTTTATGTCAAGAATTTGCAGACAGAATTGATTTTAAAAATGTTAAATTGAAACAAAAAAGTGAATTAGTAGCTTGTCATTTCCTTTGGAGACCTGAATTACAAATCAATATGTGCGGCAGGAAATGAACCAAGGAAAAGCCGCTTTTCAACAGCAGTAGTACATCATGTTATATGATTTGAATTAAAATAGTGGTGACATCTGAATAAGGAGGGAGTTGAACGTCGATGAACCGGAGGTGTTGACATTTCTATTAGTTTGAACTCATCCGCATGCTAAAGGCAGCCAAGCAGGGATTTCTGCAAGACAGCCGCAGGCGTGTTATTGTGCTGCGAGAGGAGCCGTCAATCAAGACCATAGCAGTCACTCATGATGGGAAGGGTGGTGACACATTTAAAATGAAGAGTCACACTGAACATATTATGGAACTTGAAATGTCATCACTCATTTCTGTCATTGGCTCTATGGTTGGCTGACCCGCAGCAGGGTTAACAGCAGACGGAAATCTCCAGAGATTCTGAAACAAGCTTTTAAAATGGTTTGATATAGTTTTATTATTTTTCATGCATTGATTTATGATTCTAATTCAATAAAAAGCTCCAAAAGGCCAAAATATCCAGACTGAAAATATAATTCAAAATAAAATGTAAAATCTGAAAATAAACATTTTCAGTATATTTTAAGAAATATTTAAGATTCAACACTATTCCTAGATCACTTTAATTTGCTTAATTTAATGTAAATGTATAATGACTTAGATATGAATAATAATAATAATAATATTGTTTAAAAATATAACAAGCATGCATGAGAATTCAAATTCACAAATTGAAATTTAAATATTCACATATTCACAAACTGAAATCTTATAATATATAATATAATAAAATATAATATACAATTCATAACTTGCACATTAATGCAAATTCAAATTCCTAACCATAATAATAATAATAATAATAATGTTTAAATTTATAATATATAACTTGTGCATAAATGAGAATTCAAATTCTTAACCCCTAACCCAAATTGTAATAATAATAATAATAATAATATTACTACATAAGAAAAATGCTAATTAGAAACACATTCAGTGGCTTCTGAGCCCAAAGGTGTTAATATTTGAAATAACTTTTTTTTTTTGTTTTGTTTTATCAAATGTTTTTTAGTGAAAACAGGTTACATGTGAACACACACACAACACACATAGTTTTCTTTGACTAATAAGTGAAAAGCTATCACATAATTATTGCAACCTCTGAGAGATGAGATTAATCATTTCCTGTGGACATTCTGCCAACAACATGTTCCTCATTTTTCCCCAGAAGTCTTCAGGTCAGCAAAAACAGGAACAAAATCACTCTATTAAGATGAAGAGTGAGGCAAACATGCCGCCGTTGTAAAGAGCCAAAGCACAAGTGTCTGATTTTTTAAAGCGTAACAAGGTCATTTTCAGTACAAACCATGTCCCTGTTGTGCTCTTAAGCTGCATAGTGGTGCCGTTGCAGTAGGTATTATAGCACATCCTGCTCCCATCAAAATCTCTTACTGCATCCACACAAGGTCCATATTCACCCCAAGTGCACTTAGAGACACTTCATATAAACTTTATCCTGGCTGTCTGCAATTAAGAGCAGTACACTCGTAACTTTCACGCCAGGCTGCAACGACTAAACCCCAGAGATGCTGACAGTTTTTAAAAAAACCTCTTTGAAATATTTCTCGAAAGTGGATTAATGTCTACATGAAATCAAAATTCACCCCATTTACATTCTCAATTCACATTCCTTATTATGCATGCATTATCAGCCACATTATTCCAAAGAAAAACTAACAGCACACTCGCTGTGAGAAATACTGCAAGCGGAGTGATACAAATGGTGAAACGGTTGGAGTGCAGTTATCACTAGAATATCACACCACCCATATATATATATACAGTGGGTACGGAAAGTATTCAGACCCCCTTAAATTTTTCACTCTTTGTTATATTGCAGCCATTTGCTAAAATCTTTTAAGTTAATTTTTTTTCCTCATTAATGTACACACAGCACCCCATATTGACAGAAAAACACAGAATTGTTGACATCTTTGCAGATTTATTAAAAAAGAAAAACTGAAAAATGCTCAGTATTTAGTAGAAGCACCCTCTTGATCTAATACAGCCATGAGTCTTTTTGGGAAAGATGCAACAAGTTCTTCACACCTGGCTTTGGGGATCCTCTGCCATTCCTCCTTGCAAATCCTCTCCAGTTCTGTCAGGTTGGACGGTAAACGTTGGTGGACAGCCATTTTTAGGTCTCTCCAGAGATGCTCAATTGGGTTTAAGTCAGGGATCTGGCTGGGCCACTGTATATATATATATATATATATATATCCAGTGAGGCACTTACAATGGAAGTGAAAATTTGTGGAAGATACATATTTCAATAATACAAAAAATTGCAGTAAAAGAAAAAAAAAAAACATCAATATTCATCTGATTTAAGTGTGGTAAATTCACTTTCTAATCCTTTCTGTTATAGAGTTGTCTGTTAAGATACAAAAAAATTGTAGAATAATGTTGATCACCACAAAAATGTATTTCCACTTGTCCCTCCTTTTCTTTAACAATAAATAAATACATACATACATAAATAGATAAATTAAAAAAAGAATACAATGGAAGTAAACGGAATATTAAAATATGCACCATTTCAATAGTACAGCCGCAAACCGTAAAAAAAAAATCAATATGCATTTGATTTAAGTCTGAGAAAATCACTTTCTAAGCTTTTCTATGTAAAGTTATACCAAATTTGATCTTCATCGCCATAACGTAACAGCATAAACCCTAAAATGGCTATACAGCTCAAATAATACACAAGGTTTGACAGAAAATGGCTGTAAGTGCTTTTATAAATTAAAAGCTTCACATTTTAGTTTTTAAATCCTCCAAAATTGTCCCCTTGTACTTCCAGTGTAAATGCCTCACTGTAACCTCCAGATTTTTTTTAAGAAAACGATAAATTTGTCACAAATGCTGTCATTTGAGCTTAACTGGTAATCTGTAAATCCTGTTGATGTAGGTATGGAGGTGCAATGCTTTGTGTTTACTGCCGCAGAAGGCAAAGATGTTCACCTGGAAGTCATGGTGCAGCTCAGGGCAGAGACATACATATTGACCCAGCTGCTCTAGGGGCCGGTCGGGCTCTGGTCGGGGACGCAGCTTGTTCACATCTGTTTCCAGGTCATCTTCCTGCCATGGAGAAACACAGAGCTATAAACACTGTTCACTCTTAAGCTTGACTGACTGCAGACTGAAACATATCTATCTTCCCCTGTCACTGCATGTGAGGACCAGAGGTCATGTGACAAGCTCCAGCCAATAGAATGCAGCAGGCTCTGACCTCTGACCTTCACTCTGTCTTTCTTTATGGCAAGTGGGTCAAGCAGCAGACAAACAGCAATTACACACCTTATTTGCCAGGTGAGGCACATGTAAGCGGTCACCCCTACAGCTGTGGTGTAAATGTCACTCTCGCACATACACACAAACAAAATGATTTTTGCGGTTCTCTTCTGTGCCACTAGGAAACAGAAATCAGATAGTGACCCTATTAAGCCCACCCAAAAATGAATGAATGAATGAATGTTCATGGTTTTTAAAGATATCTGAATAAATTTCCAATAAAGTGGGTATTAAATCAAAGAATAATCTCTCATCTAAACACTTATGTTTTGACATAAAAAACTAAATTAAATTACTTTTAAATTGCATGTGTCCATTTAAACCTAGCTATTTTATAAATATGCTCATAATAACATTGTATTATATATATATTAGTGCTGTCAATCGATTAAAAAAATTAACTAATTAAATCACGATTAATCCCACCTAACATTAATGTTTTTAAATATACTTTTATATTGCAATAATTTCACATTCAATCTTCAAATTAATGTACAAACAACATAAAGACAGTATATTTTTTAATGGCATATTTTTTTTTGACTGAAGGCCATTATCAATGATACCAATACTGATTTCTCTATAAAACTGCCCCCCCCTAATATTTAACCATTGACTATAGCCATTCAGCATTACAATAATTGAGAGCGC